TTTTTTCCTCACAAATGTATGACTTTTGGAGCTTTTTTTCTTGAAAATTTCTGAAACGTATCTAAAAATTTCAGAGGTTTTTTTTGCAGAGATTTACTCATCATCTGTAAAATGGCCCTAATATACGCCGTCATATTTCCATACAGAAACAGCCGAAATGACCAAAAATAGGTCAACAACGGTGACGTRGCTGGAAGAGCTGTTTGGGATAGTTTTGATTTATTCGTATGTATTTATGTTCCGATGAGTTGAGTAAAATCTGCTGATCTGAAGGTTGGATGGAAACAGTAAACTTTGCTGCTCTGGAAGTTTCCTAAAAGCCATAAAATCTGTTTGCCCTGCTTGATCACAGATATTTATTTTTACTCGTCTCTCCCTTTTCTTTCTACGTTTAGCAGCAGATTCAGTTAAAAACATCTTGTTGATTGTGTTTGTCTGACTCCACTGATACGTTTATCTACAGATAAAGCCGGATGTAGGTCAGTCATGTGACTCGAGCTCCTGAGTGTGTTTTTTATGTTTGTTTCGGCAGATGGAGTCGAGTGTTTTTTTTGCATTAAAAGTGTACCAACATTTTCTGAAATTCACATCTGTATGTTTAATAAATCTACTGGAGAAAAACTGATATTCTGTGGTTCAAAATAAACTCTTTTATAATTGATTTTATAATTTGCATTGAGTTCATTTAATCTAAGACGCTGCGGTAAATACATACGGTCAATTCATGGATCAAACCACTGTTGTGTATTTTGCTGTTTGAGCTCCTTGTTAGAGAACAAGTTGTGCAAAAAATACTAAGAAGTTGGACATGTATGGTAACAGTAATAGTTTAGAGAAGGTCACATTGAGTTCACCCTGAAATTTTGCCTAAAAGCCWAATTATTGTGAATATTTTTACCAGATGATGCCACTTCCTGTATCTGGGGACTGCTCTGCCATTAGGGTGGAGTTTCCACGTCTTGAAACTCACATGAGAGAGCGATAAAGTGTATTGTTGTGTTAAAGYGTATAAAAACAGAACAGTGAGGTCTTCATTACTTCCAAAGTATTTGAAAAATGAAGGCAAACAAACTTTATATCACTGAGCATCAACAAATGTGACTCTCTGATATAAACAGGAAATCCACCTGCAAAATAAAAACCAGGGTTTTACTGACTTACTYAGATCAGAACTTTGTTTTGTTTTAAACATCCTCCTGTCTTTAATCCAGACACTACTTTGGTTAACAGTATCTTTAAAGAACGTAGCTCCTGCATTTTGTTGTGAATAAGATAATTCAATTAGATAAGTTACGTTGCACASATTTTGTTTTTGTCCAACTCACAAGGATCAGTCCTAGACAGAGACAACTTTTCTTCATACCTCTTTAAGGAAATACGTGTCTCAATAAAACCATTTTGTAGTTTTTTGAGCGCATAGCAAAGCCGAGCTCTTCTGGGTCACCGGTCAACCAGTTAAATGCTGACCCCTAATTTACACTAGGGCTGCCACGACTAATCGATTAATCGACAACTAATTGATTATTAAAATAATCGTTTGTGGCAGCCCTAATTTACACTACATGCGTTCCGGCTCCACTCCGCTCCGCTCCGACCTCCGCAGAAAATACACACCCATTATAATCAATGAGAGTGTTTACACTGGCTGCGCAGGGCGGTGGTGAGTGGACGGCAATCTGGCAAAATTAGAACATATCCCATTTTTTTGCCAGATGCCGGAGCAGCGCGGGAGTCAATTTTTAAAGATTACATCACACCAACAGGAAGAGGAACGAGCACAACATCCATATTTTCAAAATAAGACACTATTCGGCAGAACAATTTGTCAGAATAATGTCAAAATTGCAGCTATATTAATAAATATATGGATATATTTCTACACAAATACTGTCAGAATGTATTGTTATGTTTGGGAACAGGTGGATACATGTAGCATGAAGCTATGTGTACACACAGGATACACGTGGATTTTATTTTGAAATCAGAAGTTTCAGAAAGAGGACAGTGAGAAAGTTTCAACATGGATATCAAAAGCCTTCATATCAATGTTTTCAGCTGTGTTTGGAGTTCCTCTTTCACAGAATTAATTATTTTTTGCTGTGACTTCCACACTTATCACTGAATTAATTGCGCAATCTCCTTCTTGCACACCCTCCCTCCTTTGTGTGTCAGATCGGAGCGGAGCTGAGCGCAGTGGAGGCTGGGGCACAAACGAACAGCTGCGAACTGCGCACCGCAGCGCAGCGGAGACACGTAGTGTAAATCCAGGGTGAGGCTGCAATGAAAACGCCAATGAAATTGTACAAATCCAAGCTCAAAAAGCAGATAAATAGCTTAGATATTTATGATAAATCTCATTCACAGTCCTAAAGGAAAGTTTAACACAAACTAGCTTAGAGTAAGTCCATCCGGTCTGTATAATGATGTAAATTTACTTGTTGAATTTGTGCAATTAACACGGCATTTCCATAGCAACCTCAGCTTTTTCCCGATAAATGTGAGAAACCAGCCCACTTTGCCTATTTGTGATAATTTCTTACTACGCAAAGGTCCATTCAGGGGTTGCAGCCCAAGCGGGGCACATTTGTGGTGCGGCTGACAAAACCCCACAAACATAGGCTGAATCTGAGGGTCCTATGCAGCCGACAATATCCCAGGATTCATTGCTCTGAAGAAAATGTTATAAATGATAAARTGAATGTTWGATGCAGTTTTGTATTTCTGATCATTTCAGCCTTTAAGTTAAAGCAGACAAAGAGTTGGTGTGTATTATGTGTTCTTTCTTTAGTCTAAACAAAATGAGTTATGTTCTGACGTCTGACGTAAAAGGTAACACCTCCAGGGGTGTAAGCAGGAAGAGATGAACATTATAAGCTCAATTTATTATTATAGCAGTGAGAAGTGTTAAAAGAAGTTTAGTGTTTTGCAGATTCTCTGTTCAGAGCAGGACTGATGTGTTTTGTTTGTGTTTAGCTCAAGGTTTTACACTGAGGTGCTGACTGCTGGGAACCTGATTGGAGTCAGATTGAGAATAAAGTTTTAAGAATAATTCAGTGGATTCCTGTTTATTCAAACATATCATTTTTAACAACAGATTTTTTACAGCTGTTAGTAGAGGTTTTCCTTAATTTTGGGAGATCCTCTGATCCTTAGAAAAGATCAGCTTCTCTACCTCCACAAAAGTCTGAAAAGCGAGCAGGCTGTCTTTCGCCCCTCTGTGAGCACTAACTAATGTTCAGGTAAAACAAGTTTGTATAGTTTCAAGGGTATTGTTCAGTGTTTTTCAGTAAAATAACATTGGAACATTGAAGTTGTATTGTGACCTTAAAACATCTGACAGTGTCAGACAATCTCTTGCCCTCCTCCAGCTAAGCGACCGGCGAAAATAGTGCATGTGAAATTTCACGCTCGTACACGTAGACG